CTGGTTACTTTTTTCCTCTATATCGAAAGTAAATTCTTCAGTTCTCTGAATCAAATATATATATATATATATTATTCAGTGAACTGAAGAATTTACTTTCGATATATATATATATATATACATATATAAAGACATTTTTATGTTTATACATTCTTTTTATAGATACAAATACTCAAGTAAATGCTCTGTTTATAATAAACAGTATTAAACATTTACCGGCCTGAATCTCCGAGAAATTTTCATAGAAAAAATTCGTTCTCCGACAGGAATTGAACATGTATCCTATACGGAGCCATCATATACCCTGACGTGCTTTTACCGATTGAGCCACAGAGGATAGTTCAGTTAGCAAGGTCGATTTTACTGCCGAATCTGCCGCCACTTAATTTGAAGACAATTTGATGTATGTAGGTCCTTACTTTTGGTACAAACAATTATTTTTATTTCATAGGTGACTTCCGATGGATTTCAATTATTCCCAAATTTAAGAGCCTCCAAAATTTCAGGATTGTTGGTCTTGATTCGACCCGGATTGTTTAATTTGCTCACGGAGTCGGCTTGATTCCAAAATGATATGATATGCTGGACTACAGCTTGTAGGAGTAAAGTTGAAAAAGTGTAACACACTGACATTCGCATTTATTATATATATGTTTGTATGTGTGTGTGTGCGTGTGTGTGTGTGTGTTTGCGTGTATTTGAGTAGCAGACCCTCTTTAATACATGCTTCACTGAACACGACTGAGGATGTTTTTTTTATTTTTTTCATGTTTTTCGTACACTCATAAAAAAGTCTGCTTTTCTAGACTTAATGGTGTTTTTCTAAGCATAGCTTAGATGTGACACAAGGCCGAACGTGCGAGGCACCCAGTGAGGATTGAACTCAGTATTCTATCGTAATTGATCTAGCGAGACAAGCTTGTTAACCATTATAACACGTTGAAGTGCTCAAATGATTAGAGAAGCTTAGATGTGACAGAAGACCGAGAGTGTGGCGCATCCAGTAAGAAATCGAACTCACTACTTAATCGTTCTAGCGAGACAAACTTGTTAACCATTACGCCAGATGGAAGTGCCCCTTTTTTTTTTTTGGACTTATTAAATGTGAAAAATTGTTTAAAAACATGTTGCTTCAGAGGGCTTGCAGCTAAGATGTTAATAATTTTCAAGAACTAATTTTGTTATATTAATATAATCAATGGTTACTGTAAATGGTATAAGTGCGTTTGAAAATGATGGTAGCTTTTATTATTAAAAACAATACAAGCAACCAGCGCTTAATAACATTAGTTATGAACACGGCCAGAGTATTCTGGCCGTATTTGAAAATTATGAAAATGTCTGTTCTTAAGATGTAAACCATGTCCAAATTTACTTACCCTTTATCAAAAATGAGCAAACTAAATCTCATTGATAATAACTAGGCGAAAAAGTACCAAACCAACAAACGTTTGGACATTTTTTTCTATTTATTAAGTTCAGAAAATATGTTTAAAGCACAATTTATAAATATTTATATCCCAATAAAAAATAAAAGAAATTATATATTCTCCAAAATACAATACAATCAATTTCATTATTCGCGATAACTCCTCACCAACTGGTGCATATACGTAAAACCAACATTATATATCAATTTAAATGTCCCTTGGGAGAATGCATCTCTGACAGAAAAAAAAACAAACTAATATATATGTTAGACATACAGCTGTATTCTCAATAAGTTTTACTCTACACATGTCTGACTATTAGTCCATTGCGAGATATTTGCACCAACATTCACATTCACGGTATTGATAACGCAACTATCCGACACCAAGAAAATAACAAATTAAAACTACAGATCCTAGAAGCAATCTACATTTAAAAATTGAAGTTTACTGAATAAAATCAGCTATGAATACAGTAATAATGTTCTAAAATGCCTATAAAAGAACAGTTTTCATGCTTTAATGTGCACTTGATCATTACATTCCAACATAAAAGAAAAAAAAATCCATAATGGATAATTTTCACGCTAAAGCATAATCGTCAGCCGTTGTTTTTAGGCGCAAAAGAAAAAATTCAGTAATGGATAGCTACACAGTTTTTGCCTTACTTGTTGCACCCCGCTGATGATGATCTCAGAAAGAGATGGAAAGTACTTGAGAAATGAAATTGAGTCTTACTGTTACAGTTCATTTCTTGACATATTCAAATGTAAAATACGGAAAAATATTCGAGAATATGAAAGGATTATGATAAAAATAAGCCGACACAATGTTTGTAATTTATTCAACACTTTTATGTTTACATACGCAATATCACAAATATTGAGCACTTTAACCCATAAATATAGCGTACCTTAAAACTCTATTTTATCATATATATACAAACATACACATACGCACACACACACACATACACACACACATATATATACACATGTATGTATATACATACAGATACATATATATATATATATATATATATATATATATATATAAGTTATGAAGAACTTGGTAATCCGTGTGGGTAATCACATTATTTAAAAGAAAAACAGACCACTTTTAGGTACAAGTATAATAATTTATTTCATCAGACATGGCAGAGTATAGGAGGGATTAATTTCATATTAAGAAAGAAGGGAGAAGGAAGTAAAAACCCAAAAACTTACACTACCCATCAATTTTAATTTCATTTTTCGTTTCATTTCATTTTTTGAAGTGCTATCTGATGATCCGGCGTCCTTTAAAAGGGCTCTGGTGAAATAAATTATTATAATGGTACCTTAAAGTGGTCTGTTTTTCTTTTAAATTCACACACACACACGCACGCACACGCACACACACACACACATATATATATATATATATATATATATATATATATATATATATATATATATATATGTCTGAATGTGTGTATGTGTGTAAAGACAGAGTCAAGCAAAAGTAGGAGGGGAGCAAATGATAACATTTATATTGAGATTACAGACTAATACAATTAAATTTTGCTAAACAATTACTACATATAAAATAATTTGAAAGAATCCTCATTGTTTCACACAATGTTATTTAAAATTATTGGATTTTCTTTCATTTCGTTTAGTATGATCTTACTAAATTACAGCCGCCTGTCTGGGTCATCCTCCAATAAGCCATGAATTAGACGTGGACGATAAGCTTTCAACTCAATAGATTTCAGAATTTGTGGCTTTTCTGCTGGGCCTTTTTTGACTGTGAAAAAATGCTTCGGCCACAAGTTGTTCATGGTCCTCTGTGTAAACTATTTTGGGTCGACCAGTTTCGGAGGCATTAAGAATTAAGCCGCTTGTATCAAATTTGTCACAAATGCTGTTAATGGTTTGTCTATTTGGGGTTTGAGTACCAAGTGTTTTAACCCATTTTGTTCTAACCAGTTCTGCATTTTGAGACTTCCAATAAACAAAACAGCCATTTTCTTGCATCAGTATTTAAATTATTTCCATTATGGATACACTGTACTATCTGAAAAAAATTAAATAAAATTAGTTATAAAATTTAATCACTATTTACATTATTCGGACTATTGTCGTCATCTTTGTCGCCATATTTAGTACAACGTTTCGGCCCTTCAGTATCTGTCTATATTTCTGAGATGAGGTATTATGTACACTATTTACATTATACGGACTATTGTCCTCATCTTCGTCGCCATATTTATTACAACGTTTCGGCCCTTCATTATCTGACTATATTTCTGAGATGAGGTATTATGTGCACTATTTACATTATTCGGACTATTGTTCTCATCTTTGTCGCCCTATTTATTACAACGTTTCGGCCTTTCAGTATCTGGAGTTGTATCCATTACATTCACCTACGTGCTAATACCCTTGAGAAAGGTATGAATCCTCTTCTTTCTTCAGCTACTATCGCCTAAGCTTGTTTCACGCATGGCACATAACTGACTGATATAGATAGATAATGAATTTTTGATAGATAGATAGAAAGTGTGTGTGCCTGTTTTTTGAGTGCTTGTAGGATGTATAATAGTATTAAAAGCAATTGTGAAGTTGAAGAGACAATGGGGCAACTTTTATAAACGACGCGTTTCGCTGGAGACTGTATGTTCTCGGGTAAAAATTAAAGAATAGCAAAACTTTGTGTGAGGAAAATGCCTTAAAATTTTGAGGATAAGCAGTAATCATGAATTAATTTAAGTGCCTTAGCTTATCACCTTCCTAAAAAACACAGTCGGATAACATTTCTGCAAATGTAGTCGCAGTTTCGATTCCTACTGGAGAGCACATACTTTCCCGAATATTCAAGCTGGTAAACGAAATTAAATACATATAATATTTATTAAAAAAAACGGAACGTCTAGTCAAATGTGAGCATCCACTAAAATAATTTTAAAATGAAAATCAAAATATATGCTTTCTTTTTTTTATTCGCTGTGTTTCCGCTTTCTTCCCACGCTTCTCTTTTTTTTATAGAAAATTTCTCCCAAAGACAAAGTTTAAGAGCCAATCAAGGTTGAGTGTTACCGAATTAGGTTGGTGATATGAATGTAAAAGGTGGTAGAATGATTTGAAGATGATAAGGATGAGGAGGATAGTTAACGATTGATCCTTGACGTTTAGTCTGTGGCGAAAGAGAAAATCACTTACCGAGAAAAAGGGTCAGAGGACAAAATTCCGATGACAGAATAACCAAAATAAAAACAAATCACTCGCAGGTGTTGCCATAAATGCATCGCGGATATACTGATATTGTTTGTCCTTTCCCACCTGTCGACCAATAAAATATTGTTCCGTTGACAAAACGGGTTGTTGTTCTCGAAAGTCGTTTTATTTTTTTATTTTTTATTTTTTTAAAACCAGAGATGTCACATTATTTACATTCTTCGGACTATTGTCCCCATCTTTGTCGCCATATTTGTCACAACGTTTCGGCTGTTGTACGGTCCGGCCTTCTTCTTTCCTCAATGACACATGGCACAGTGGATAAAGGCGTTGGTTAGATCCAGTGACAGGA